ATATCAATAAGAAAATAATTTCGTAAATAAGAAAAGATAAATTAGTGTGAATATGAATTATCTATATAAAATATAATTACAATATATATAATATAATTTATTTATATATTTATAATATAATTATAATATATGCATAAGGGGACGTCTCTTATACAGAGTTATCCATTTAATAGTCATCAAAGTAACCATAAGTGAAACATTTATGAGATTTCAATCAAATTTTTCATTGTCTGGATGTTATTTGCATTTTACCTAGATCAATAGCCATACTATCCGTATACACAACTTAACTGACGTTCGATTATGATTATCTACAGTTATTACTAAGAAGTAGAAAAAATATACTAGCCAAATTTCTTTACAGAACTACCGTTTAGACTTTAACAGCTACGCAGACAATTGGGATGGCGCACCAGCAACTATTGTACCAACAGAAAACTCCACCGTATATGGCACACTTTGGGAAATCGATATTTCCAACTTAGCTGATATTGATGAGTAAGTACTTTAGAACCAGTTTAATTAAATTGAATAACTGAATCACTCTTTAATTGTTTTTTTAGCCAAGAAGGAGTATCAGAAGGAGAATATGAACCGGTCAATATATCAGTTTTTTTAAATAATGATACAGTAGTGAATGCGCGTTCCTATGTTTTAGTTAAGCAACCTGAAATACCACTGAAAATGTTGAATATATCGGATATTCCTTTCGAACGACAACCATCGAAGACATACTTACAATGTTTAGTTAAAGGCGCCATTGAGTCTGAGCTTCCAGATGAATATATACATTGGTTGAGAACTATCAAACACAATGGAAAGGTGGCTAAGGATTTGGAAGATTTTTTAAAATTGAGTGATATAAAATTGTCAACATAACTGCATTTATATAGTAATTGTTTTGTAACTTTATCACCGAAATCATATTTGTTTCTAGTAATATTTGTTACCAAATAGAAGGATATAAATAATATTTTTTTTTTATTTTATAAATTCAATTATAATAAATCGAATAATATTATAATGAAACATAAGCTAATAATATACGTTCAAAGTATGCAGTAAAAGCATTATGCTTTCATATGCGGATATCAATATTAGCATTTCTGTGTAAATCAACAGTTGTCTAATAATAAAGAAAACTACTTAAGAATATAAGTATCCAAATATATATAGATATAGATATATAGATTTACTCATTTGTAACTGCGCTTCATATATTTATAAAATGTAGCAATTTTTACAATTGAGCATTAGTAATAGATATCATAAAAAGTATACGAGATTCAAATGATTGCAAAGAAAGTCCAAAATTATGGCTCAAATCCACATAACTCCACTAAGATCAATTCTTCTACAAGTCAGAATTTGATGTATGTTTGGTTTTGTTCATTTAACTTCTGGAATATTGACATTTTTGTTAAATTTTCTTTATGTTTTATAATAAAAACTAAATATTCTTCAAATCTACAAAAATGTTGCTTGCACGAGATAAGTTGTGAGCCACTGCAGATTCTACCCTATCCCTTTTAGTTATGACAGTCAGTTTCAGTCTATCTTCCCTAAAACTACCTATGACTTACGGTGTGACTCAAATCTATTAATCACAACTCCCTTATTTCCGACCTATTTCGCCATACATTCTCAGTATATTTATTGTCTATTTAAGGTCAAACTTCACTAGTACCCCTTTGGAGCAATTTACTACCTAAATATATATCCCAGTTGAATTATGCTTAGGATAAACATTTTTTTTTCTGCAATAAAAAAAAAGAGGTGCAATCACATAATTTAATTTGAATAAATTTTTCTTTATTTCAATATTTTCTATGCACATAACACAAAAATGTATAAGTTCTACACCAAAAAAAAAAATTATTTCTTAATACAGTAATGTTTCTATGTAGCAAAAATATTATAAATATAGGTGTAATAAAAACAATTTATGTATACAAAAAAAAAGCATATAACAAAAGAGAAAGGAAAGGAAAAAAGTATCGCTCGCCTAGTCAGGCACTTACTACAACTGCCTAAATGACGCTGTTGGTGTACCTAATAAAATTTAAACAAAAATTACCTGCAAGCAAGAAAAATAATAATTCTAATAATTAGAAGAGCCTTAAGGCTCAGTTAGTCGGTACGTACCGTAAGAACTTAAGTCAAAGCGAAATACACAACCAACCACACCTCTACATTTACTAGGAATGGAATAAACAAAAACGGCGAACATTGCTTATTTTGTTACTATCAAATACACAAGTGTGGTTGGGTGTACATTTCGCTTTAGCTTAAGTTCGCTTAAATTCTTACGGTACGCACTGACTACCTGAGCCTTTGCTATAGTTTTTAATAACAGTTGAAATCTCTACTTTCTGTTGAGTTAGATTACATTGAATTAGTACCGTCTATCTCAAAACCCATTTGTCGCTTAAAAAAAACGAATCCCTCATTCAAGTGAAACTAATCTGATGAGTCTATAAAATTATCAAATCTCCTAAGATTAAAACATTTGTAATACATACTGTTATAAATTTCCCTTACAGTTGTCGAATATTTCCAAGAAATATAAAAGAAATAAACGTAGAACCGTAGCCTCTGAGAATTTCTGTAAATCAGACAGCTGCAGTTTCCTACTGAATCCAAAATCTTTGAATCCGTTATAGATCTTTTAAAATAGGTAGCTGTATTGATTGGGTACCCATAAATACATATGGCCATGTCAGATTTAGTTCACTAATAAAACGATTAATTATTTAACAACAGTGTGAATAATTCCTTATTAAAATTTCTTTATTGAAATGGAATGGTAATGAATATCTGAATATCTTCGCTGTATTACAACAGATCTAAGTCCCAAAGGTCCAATACAATAAAACCGTTTATGAATATATTAAAATATTAAGTGCAGTAAGGAATGCAAATATATAAATTAATTTCATGATGAGCTATCGCTTATGATTAACTTTTCATACATTATCCATTTTACAATTTTTATTAAAATTCTTTTAAAATCATTTCATGACCCAAGTTTTTTTCGATCTTTACATATTACTATGAAGGCACGGGTTTTTTCCATAAATTAAAGTATTTCAAATATAAACAATAGTCCACATTAGACATTAAGAAATTTCATTAACACGGATTTTTTCACATACAAAAGAAAAGGCGTTCACGGATAATTTAAATAAAAGCGATAGACAAGGTTATGTTATACAAAAAAGGGACTATTTACCTGTTAGAAAAACCCAAGCTAATTAAGGAATAACATTTTCAAACTGTTTAGTATGTAAGATTTAGTATTTAAGAAACGAAAATATACAAAATAAAATTAGTTGAATATTTTGTGTATAAGCATAAGGTTGATTTTTACTAACGAATTTAGTATTACTTTAACAACAGGAAAAAAAAAGTGGGTGCGGAAAATCAGTCGAAATTTAAAAATAACTAATATTAAAGAAGCAGAATTTTAAATCGTGAAAGAAAAATTTCAACAAAAAAATGGAACAGGCATTTTCTTTAGGAATGGCAACACCGGCTGAACTCGATGTAAAGTATCAAGGACAGGTAACAGATTTACAAAAACAAATAAATTTTTACGGAAGTAGGATACAGGATGCAGAAAATTATTTACAAATGACCAAACAAAAACTGTTAAAAGTGCAACAAGAGTTAAATAATGTAGAACATAATTCAGAAGATGTAACAGAAATAGAAGCATGTCAAAAGCCAAATTCCATGTCCAGGGAACTGGAAGAATATCGACTTTCCACAGATAAACTCTCAATGGAAGTTCAATTACTCACTGACAAAATTTCTGCTATGGGTAAACAGATCGAAACTCATGAAGAGAAATCAATTTTATATGATAGTTTAAAATTGCAACATGAGAAAGATTTAAATGAACTTGATTTAGCAAAATCAGAAATACGGAATTTGGAAAATCAAATAGTAGATTTGAAAAAATTATCAAAGAATAACTATTCGAGTTGGAATAACCATTGGAGTTGGAATAACCATTGGAGTTGGAATAACCATTCGAGTTGGAATAACCATTCGAGTTGGAATAACCATTGGAGTGTGTATAACCATTCGAAGTTGGAACATGAAGTTCAGTTTTTGCGTAGTGTAAATAAAGACTTGAAGTATAATACGCAACAGGAAATATTTTTTTTGAAATCGCGACTTAAAATGATAGTTGAAGAATGTTCTGAATACAGTGAAATAAATGGTAAATTAAAACGTGAAATTGCAGAATGGATGAAAATAGCTCAAGATAACTGTCCCACTAATGTGAGACCTAATCCTTTAGCATTACGTGCTGAAATGGAGAGACTATTAGAAAATAGTAAAAAAATGGTAGCAGAGAAAAACGTAAAAGAATCAGAAATGAAATCTATTAACTCCGATTTGGTTGAATCTAAAAATAAATGCGATGAATATGCGAAGAATATTAAGGAACTAAAGGAACATATAAAGGAATTAATGATAGGACTTCAAGCATTTTTCAAGGCAATGTGAAACAAACAAAAAAAGAAAAACAAATTAAAAAGACAATCGACTCGGTCAAGTTACAGAAACCAACCTATCAGGAAATCATACTAGTTGTTCAAGGAACTCAAATAAAAACACCAACACGTGCTTCTTTAATAATAAAAGATTTCATTTAAATAAGTTATATATTTTAAGTTATAAGTTATATATGTTAAGTTATATATTTTTCAATAAAAAGCTTTAATTAATTTTAATTTAAAATTGTTTTATTTAACTAATCGATTTGTATGGTTTTCTTTTTGATTTTAATATATAGCTTTGGTCTGACAAATTATATATATAAACCATTAGTGATGTTGATGAAAGGAATAATTTGATCAATTTTTTAAGTTCTTTCTCTGAGAAATACACGTTTTTTTAAGGTAATTTTCATTAAAGACTAAAATTTTCAAAATGTATGACAGAAAATATTAATAATTTATTTAAAAACAAAATTAAAAATAAACCTAATTCCAAGTTTATATATTTCGGTTATAGTAGTGATTCTGCCAAATCGAATTTAATTACGAAATCTAACAGCAGTCAACTTAATTATCAACCTCAAAACGTTAGTCCAAACGTCTGAAATGCCAAATCAGTACTCCGAAATATTCTGTGAATTAAATTAATTTTAAAATTGACTTTACAGAATGGCTTTCTCTGTGACATTAACTCCTTTGAATAATTACAAATAATAATAAAGTCATCAATTATGTTAAGTAAATTCTCTTAACTTTACTCCTTCAACAAATATTCAGTGGAATACAAAGATATCTTCCGTTTGTGTAGCACCTAAAGTCTTTATAAATAAGACATTTTATGGTAACATCAGTTTGGAGTCCGGATAGAGAACAGTATAATGGAATGGTTTTTTTTGTCATTATTTAGGCAATGGTAAAAATATTTAATTTAAACTAAAACTGGTCTGATTATTTATAAACCTATGAGCAGGTCTTGACAAAATTGATGGAACAATAATACATAATAAGATTATATATGGAACCTGATTCTTTTGAAATCAATTCAAGCGTTGGTAAGAAGATTTTTTATCTGTTGAAATATTTAATAATGTATTAAAATGAGAAGATGACAAAAAAACAAACTATTAAATGGACCTGTTACATTATGTGGATATGCTGATGACCTATATCTAATAGGAACCAGTAATCACATTGTGCGACATACTTTCGAAGTTCCGTATAAATCTAACACATTCGGAAGAACTAAACACAAATAAAATAAAACGATATGACTAACGTTATCAGATTGGTAAAGTATAAAACTGACGGTACCTGATTATACCTGATTATATCAATATCTGTCAGAGTAAATGATTACGCTTCTCTGCGATGGATACGCGATGCATATAGAAATGTAGTTTGTTACGCTTATACGCGTTTCATCTCCGACTCTGAGATGCGCTCTTTCGCGATTAGATTATGATGGAAATTGTTTGCTGGGAAAGTAACAAAGATTAAAGGTTAAACACTTGCAAAAATTTGCTTTTGCAAATTTATAGATAAAAAAAGAAAAGATTACATTTATATTGATTTTACTTTTCAACTGTAATTGGCTTCCATTTATGTAGAAATATATGTTTACACAATATAGAATTATATAGAATAAGTTATATGAATGCATTAGAGTTCGAGTACTACTACTTACACAAATTTTTTATGTACTTTCTTTGAAAATACATCTTCACTTAATGGCCCATTGAACACAAACCATAGGAGTAGACTACTGAACTATTACCGGATAGAACAAACCTACTGCAAAACAATTGTTTTGTCATAGATGTGTTTTAGATGTGTTTGCAGGCGCATTGTTTGGGTACCCATAAATAGATATGGCCATGTCAGAATTAGATCACTAATAAATTAATGAATTATTTAATAACTCTGCGGCTAAAACGTTACTAAAATTTGTTTCTTGAAATGGAACTGAACTGCTGAATTGGTGGTGACGGAAGACGTATAATGAATATCTTAATTGTATTACAACAGATCTAGGTCCCAATACTTTTTACAATCTTGCGATCAATAAAATAAAATCGTTTATGATTATATATTATCTTTCAAGGGAAGCAATAACTGAACAGGTAATGAATTGACCAGAAAAATTTACATTAAAATGAACTTAATTGTTCAGTTTTGATTAGTTTCCATATATGTAGCGGAATATGTAATGTACATGAGAATTATAAACCCCTTTTAAATTTTTTTTTCGATATACTCAATATGTTTTAATTCTTGTTATATTAGTTTAACAGCTTTTGTGTTTTATTATATTAAATTTTACAGTTTTTAGGTAATTTTTTTATTTTTTTGTTAGTAAGTTGCAGATTTCTAAAAAATACAATTTGTGTGGCTTTCTTTCTGAAAGTATGAGCTGACGAATTAATATAATATAATGCTGACGAAAGGATCAATTACTACAGAAAACATGTACTTTCTATATGGTGTCATAAATGCGGGAGCTGATACCTTTATTTAAATATGCAATTTACTTGTGGAACAAGATAAATTATTGGTTAGTTTGGTTTTGAAACCAAAAATTGCTACAATAATTCAAAACAATGTTACGTTTTTAATTATTAAATTATTAATTATTAAATAGGTTTATGAATTCAAATAGTAAATTGGAATAGTAAGAGGAATTTAAGTAGGGTATTTATTTGAATAGAAAAGTTCAATTTTTGTGTTAATTTAATTTTTTGGTTTTCCATTAAGAATTTTGGACTTTATATAATATTCAATATCATGTGGTATTTAAAAAAAATTCCGAATGCTTTATTAGTCAATATTAAATTTAATATATATTCAATAAAATAATACACTATTAGTGTATTACAGCTCTATACTAGTGTATGACACCTTTGCACTCTAATTTTTTATTCCTACAATATACATAATATAATCAAAAAACTTAACAAAATCATTTCCTTTTAAGTTTTGACATTTTAAACTAACTTTGGCCTACATATTATCTAAAGAATACAAAGCTTTTATATCAATTTTGATAAGATATAATATATATAAGATATATATATATATAAAATATATATATATAAAATATATATATATATAAGATATATGAATATATTACATATGTATAAGTTTTTATAAGTTTTATTACATGACTTCTTTATTTTTAACGAAAATAATAATTTTAGTATAGTCACTTGTCACTTACTAATATTACTTTACAACACTTATATCGCATAAAGCTTTTTAGTACAGAAGAGCTTCAGCATAAAACATATGTTAACTGTCAGAATGTCGGTGGTCGAAATCAACAAAGCATGTTTTGATTAATTTAAATATTAACTTCATTTTTTGTTTGTCATAAAAAGAATTTTATTTTTTTTTGAAGTGAAAGTTATTATAAAAAGTGTTGTGCTTATGAAAATATATTATTTAGACAAATATTGATAAAAAAACATTCGCAAAACTGCGGTTTTCACTTGAGCCAAAACAATAGCTGCTGGTAAACATAAAAGCTTTTCTACACTGGATGCGTATGTGCTTTTTGTAAGTGGGTAAGCATGAATGATTTTAGTACTAGCAAATACACAAACCCAAAAGTTCCCTTAGAGCTTTTTTGCAAAATATATCCATCAAACGAATTTTCAGTGGTTATTAATATATAAAATTTTAAGATATTAACTGAATTTTTAAATTAATTACTAATTTATTAATAGAATTAATTATTAATTAATAGAAAATGTGTTGTGATTCGTATATTAAAAATTGATTCATTATTAGTATAGCTTTAATGATATATAATCAAATAACGAAATCTGCAGTGGTCATTAACCCTTTACTGACAATGTTTAATGTATATAAAACAATTGTTAGATTTGTGTTGTATTTTAAAACTTAAGTGGAATCTTTTAAATGATGATTTAATTTCTATCAAATCATTTAAAAAAAAAAAAACAAAATAAAAATAAACAAAAAAATCTTAAAATTAGATTTAAAAAAATTTCTCTTAAAAATTTAAAGACAGGCGTGATTTACTCTAAATTAATTCATTTAATTAAATTGGTATTGAATTTTTCAACAGAAGAAAAATATACTATAAGTATTCTTGTATAATCACATTCGTGAATTATTAATTATTTGCTACTATTTTATTCAAATATAGTTGGAAATAGGATATATCTTTCACGTTTTTCGTTCCGTTGTCGGCACAGATAAGGAACTGTTCTTAATTTGATTCCGATAATCGTTTGAGAGATTTTTATTTACCTTATTTATTTAATACACATCGCAAAACAAGGGTATACGAAATTCGTGGAGGTATATATAATCGATCAAATGAAACGGTTTAACGTTGTGTATCTTTTTAACTATCTATTCGAATATTATAATACTAGATATATAAGTATTAGTTATTAAAAAGAGTAAGAAAGAAAGGTGAAGAAAGAGTAAAAGTGTCCAGTTGTACTAAATCGGAAAGACATAAGATGAATAATTTGTAGAGAAATTTCGTTTATATTTATAAAAATATTTTGTAGAAATTCGGTAGAAAATTATGATTAAAAATATTGATTCATTAAACATATATCAATTTGGTTTAGCCAGTGAACCCAGTGAGTGGTGCTTATTATTCTTTTAAATAACATATAACAAGTTTTTTGATATGAAAATAATCACAGAAAAAGTTGAACGCAATACAGATCTGCAATTATAATCATAAAAGTTACTTATAACTATTTCACACTTTCATTATTATAAAATTATTTTTAAATTGTGTGTGATAGGTCCAAAAACCTAGAACTTCTCAAAAAGCAATTTAGATTTAAATTGCATTAAGGAGATATAAAAAAATTACTTAAATTTATAATATTCCGAAGATATCTGTGTCATAATATATTATTAAAGCGAGGAATAGAAATTAGTATACTTTTGGTAAAAAATAGAGAGACGTCATTTACAATAAGACAAAATAAAGGAAATATATATATGACAGCGCTTCATATAAATACTTCTATGTGCCTTAGATGGATATGTTGTGGGTTGATGGGTCTATTGATAAATTGATGGCTTGATATTTAATTAAGCCAGCTACAGCTGTTAGTGAATATAAGGAAAATGTGGATTTTAGTGATGGATGTGTGTAAATATTGATTTGAATACATATGTCTTTCTAACACATAATTAGAATTTTGAATCCTTAAAGCGAGTTTGATCTATTGGATTTGTTCGTAGAGAATATATCATGTCATCTTTGTTGTTATATATTTTGTATTAGTATGAAATTTTTTTTAGAATTAATGTCTTAATTTTTAGCAGATATGACTTATCAATTAAAACTTTACTTTGGAAAAGTCGCCATTAATCACATTTACTTGATAGATATTTTTTTTTGTTGCATAATTGATACTCACTTATTTCTACATATTATATAACTTTATACTATATATAAACTATATATATTATTACCCTTATAAGATGCATTGCTTTAAATAAAGGTTTCTTTTTTTTATTATGTTATTATATTTACTCTATTATGTTAGTGCATTTATTAACAATATTTTATTTATATAATAATATTTTGAGCATGATTATAATACATTAATTCTTTTATAGCTCACATCAATTAAACATGGCCAGTAAATTTTTCTACTTTGGGTTTGGCAGCAACATGCTGGCAAAGCGTATTCATATTCAAAATCCCACGGCGGAGCGCATTGGACCTGGAAAGCTGGAGGTAAGGACTTAATCTTTCTCGATATTTTTACATAATTAAGTTAACTACTATATATGAGAACTCACATAATATCTATTATTATACAATTTTTTCTGTTGCTGATATCGGATCAGCAACTTTGTGTTAAAGTTTTTGTTAAGAACAGAATTAAGAGGGTAGTGAAGCATTTGAAATGTAGAAGTCATTCGGCAACAATTCTATATCATAATCTTAGGTTAAAGTAAAAATACTTCTCAGATGGCATTTGATGGAATGTGTTTACTAATAAATTATTGAAGAGGTGCCAGAAAAAATAGGAATATATAGAGAAGGAATAAGTCTATATAGCAAAACATATCTTCTTTACAGCGTCACAAGCACTCTCTACTCCAGAAATGGTGTCATACAAACTCTTTTTTACTTTTGAGAGTCAAAAAGATTCTTAAACGGTAGAATTTTTCAAAAATAGACGGAAAACAGGCATAATCGACGAAAAGCCTTTAGCTTTTATCTGAAACACAAGTTACAGTATTACTTAAACTTAAAAGTAATAGAACAAACATTAATAATTGAATGAATAATTCTCAGAGCAATAAAAAACTCTTAGTACCACTCGAGTACACCACGTATATATATATTGAAAATAGGCTGCTTGTAATAGAAAAAAAAAACTAGCTAGTAGTTGCTATTAATTCAGTAGTAGTTGCTATTCAATCTTTATCACTAGGTGTGAATACTCTTCATATTACATCTATTTATCGACGTAAACTACTTAAATTCACAGAAAGTAAATGTGTTAAGGTCCATTTAATCAGCGACTAAAATTAAAAACAGATAGCTAGAAATATGGAGGTTCAGACCAATATATACATATATAGATATAGATCAATATATAGATATAGATAACGAAACTGGCAAACAACTAGACAATGAAATGTATGGTCAGATACATAATTGAATAAACAGGCAGATAGATGAACAGATAAATAGACAGAGAAATAGAACTGTATAGAAAGAGACAATACTTGATTATTGTGCGATATAGTCTCCGATATTTTTATATTGCTTAATCTTAGCAATAGTAATATATGTATACAATACCATAACTACGTTTTACTAAAGCTCTGTTACCAAAAAACTATTTACTACATTAAATAATATCCTGCAAACACACTAAATTCTTACTTTTTACATTTCAGAATTACCGCCTGGATTTCTTTTCAAAATCCAGAAACTGGAATGGAGCCCCAGCAACAATAGTGCCATGCTGTGAGGAAAATGTTTATGGCAGCATATGGGAAATTGATATGTGTAATATGAAAGATCTGGATGAGTAAGTTTGTTAAGTATAGAAAGTAAAGATAGTGGCGTATACAAACTGAGACTTATTTTAGGGTGTGTTTCAACAATTATGTTAATTATAAAGTTCAACTGAAAATATTTAGGGGCAGAATATTCATTACATCTAGCTTGAAATGGGGCAACATATCGGGGGAACGGAAGTGGAATTCAGATTAAAAACCTCTCATCTTAGAATATTTTGGACCATACATATAATGCATTTTTTCCAATTAAATTTTTTGATTATATATAATTAGAAATGGGCTTACGTATTATCGGGGGAAGGTAACGGGAATTAAGATTAAAAACCTCCTATCTTAGAATGTTTCGGACCATTTTTCATTACATACATGTAAAGCATTTTTTCAATTAAACTTTTTGATTTATAATGCATTATGATCAAAAATCTCTCTTCCTCATTTGTGTACGCCACTGAATATAAATAATATAATATATCGATCTAATATCTTTTTCTTTATAGTCAAGAAGGCGTAGCACAAGGTATTTATGTACCCATATCAGTCTCAGTGCTGTCACTAAACACAAAAACTCCAGTTTGTTGTCGTGCCTATCACTTGGCCAATCAACCTATGACCAACTTAAGTAAAGCACCGGCAGATTGCATTCCATTCAATAGGCAGCCGTCCAAGACTTACCTGAAGACACTCGTTAAAGGTGCCATTGAAACAGGCATTGACGATGACTATGTGAAATGGTTACGCACAATTAAACACAATGGCAATACTGTGGAGAAATTTGAAAATGATTTGGAACTGGCGGAAGTTGAATTATGTACAAATTAAGAATTTAATTATTTTTTTATTATTTTTTGTACATATTATATTTATTCCAAATTTTTGCCTGGACATTGGTCCTAACTGAATTCTATGTTATTTTTCATGCTGTAAGACATCAACACAACAATAACAATAACAACAAATGAAATATTATGAATTTTAATCACTTATTTATGATGATTACCCCAATATCCTTAGAAGCATATTGGACTTGAACTAAAGAAAATAAAATTCCAAATATCCTTAACGCCTTGGAACAACTTTTGGAAAAGTTTCTTGCTTCCCTGTTGCGAATAAGTTTTCATGCAACTAAACTACAATTAAAATGCAATTTACTGTGCATCTTCCTGCCATTATCTCATCCAGAAGAAGCAACAGAAAGCAGCAGCACCGCCCGGCAAAGTAATTGCACCGTCGGTGCTGTAAGAAAAACTGAAAGGATAAAAGCCAAATTGGCGAAATTTAGAATTCTTTTACTTATTAATTTAAATATTGCTGAGCATTTAATGGGTAAACTTACTTAAGAAGAAGACCGTTTACTTTAAAGTAAATGCATTGTCTACCTCTGCAGGAGACTGGATAGTGGGGTGTGAAGAGCTGCAAATATGCCAATTTTCATAATTTTCTATATTAAATGTTGCTGCACTCGTACTTTGCACTTCATTCCGAGTCCAGGCCAAACTTTTAATTTAAAAGTTTAAGCAAAACTATTGTTAATACTACACTCTCTGCCGCTCCCCTTGTAGGTGCTATTTGAGAAGTTAGAAGTGTTGCAGCTTAGCACCTTCGGGTCAAAATGTTTCATTTACAAAATGGAGTCGATTTCGGTTACAAAGAAAAGTTCCAACTGAAATGCAGACCCATTTGAACTGAGCGCCAATAATAGCTTTCCATTGCAACATTTCAAATGCACATTTTCAGCGAAGTGGTGAAACAGTTACATGGGCCCGGTTTGGGGTGGGGTCTGTGGTGTGAGTAGAGAAATTTAGAAGTGGCAAAATGTAATTTCTGTTTGTAACAACACTTTTGTTAGTTGGTTTGAAGTTTTGCATGTTTGCATAAATTAACTATTTGGCATGTTTATAATAGCTTTGGACAATAAAGAAATTTCCAAATGAAAGTTGAGAGAGAAGAAAAAAAAATGTAAACAAAAGTTTAAATTTAAAATTATATTAGAAATAGAGGAGTGTACATAGATATATTTTAAAAGGATACTTCTCAAAGTTTATTTAAGAATATAAAAATGAATTTAAGGGGTCCAACATTTTTAGAGAATTATTTCATAAGGAACTATTTTTAAAAATTGAAGAGGTATTAATATTAGATAAAATTGAAGACATAGTAAGCATATATAGGCTGCGTATACAAGACATCATACATTATATTACTATGAAATGTGTTCTAAAAACGATAGTGTTGACGTTTAAAAATCAATTATGGTTTAAGGTCTAATTAATAGCCCGAACAGCATTGCAATTATTGTCAGAATAAACACCAAAACTTTCAAATTGATTTCCTCAAATTAATAGAGCAGTTTTGGCAAAGATTGCTTAGTCTTTTGAAAGATTTTTGAGTATGGTGACCTGAAAGATCGTTGCCTGAAATGTACGTTGGCTGTATGTGTCAACACACTGGTCCACACTTCATATTTGACAGGGCTTAATTTGTGGGAACTCGCTTATCGCTATAAAGAAACTTGTTCGACTTTTAAGTAAACTTGGTGTAACTTGGTTACGACACTTGCTTTGGTAACATTTTTATTTATCAATCTATTAATATATGTTAATTAATTAAACATTATGAAATCTTGACCTAACTTACATTAATATGCTTTATTTAATATATTTTAACAGCGGTACTTTAATTTACTAAAGTTTAAATAATTATTCCCAGAACAGGATCTCTAGAATCTGAAATTTATTTAGATTTTGACCACCCTCATTTTCATCTAATTTTTCAGTTTATTCAGTTTATTCAACGCTTACTGCAATTCTTTCTGGTCATTGGTGTATAGGAACCCACGGAGAAAAACTGCGCATACCTTAAAATCCTTACTGCAGAAGTTGTGAGAAGGAATAAGAAACTATAAAACTCTTTCTCTGTGTCCAGCTTTGTCGGCCAGCAGAAATAGGTTTTTAATAAGATACTTTCTTTACAGTTTATCGGACTGTTTAGCGGTAAAACACAAAGGACCTATTAAATTATCTAAATGGATTATGCACTTCTATATTAGGGGTTCTTGTGACTAATGTGGTTACAAAGTGGCAAAAAATCGTTAATTGAGGTACTTGGAAGTTATCTGATGACGTGCCACTACAACCAACTAACCTTGGGGTATTTATCGGATTTTCTAAATTTCTTTTGAAAAATGAATTTATTTTAGAATATTTTACTGTCATTTGCTAAAACTCAAAAGATCTTTATTGTTTTGCAACCTTAGAGTATACGCAAAGTGTCCGTACGTTTATTGTCGCAATGTTGCATCAATTTATTTTCTCAAACAGTTCAGACATCGGGGTTTTAGTGAATGTGTCAGCTCTTTTTAGTCACCTCATCTGCTAGTTCGTACTTTTTGATTGTATCATCTATAAGAAATAAATGCTATTAGCTGTGTTTTAATTCCTTTATCATTATTATTATACTCCTTGAATTCTTAAATATTATTCCCCGCAGGATTGCAAGTACATTGTACAGACAGGTAAATATGTTATAATCAATCACTCAATTAGTTGCATAAATCGCTTTAAACAAAACATTTGCTATTCACATTTTTAATATTTCAAATACATATTTTTAATTAAAATTATTAACATCGTATATTGCATTCTTTGCATACGAGTATTAGAAGTGATGACTTATTGTTCAAATAAATCCAATCAGTGCTCGCAGAAGGGCTACTTAATTATTCCAAATTAGCGGCGCGCATATTTATTTATTATAATTGCTTTTATTTAAATTCCATAAATATTAAGGGCAGCGCGTTAAAGAGCCATGGTGTTAATATTTAACCATTAAGCTTTGGATTAATGAATTTTTATGACGTTTTAATTTTGCTTTAAATAAAGTTGCACTTTAAAGTGCAACAGAGCAGCAATAAATATTTATGAGGCAATTTTTGTACTCTCCTCGCCTTGGCCGAGAGTTGTGCTACATTGCCCACATACCACCACATTGAGAACATAATTCAATAATGCACAGCACGCTTGATTTTAATTGCTTTTCAATAAAATACGCGCATTTAACAAGCCTCAGGACAATAAAGTGCAAAATGCAGCACTACAACGCCTGCCAAAGGATAACAAAAACAACAACGCACGTTGCATTGCTAAACTTATTAAAAATGTACAAGTTTGTCAAAAGTATATTAACATCATCAACTTCCAACTACAACAGTTACAAATATGTTAATGCATAGTAATATATAATTATATATAAGGCAATATAGCAAGTATACGCGGATGCGTACATAGAATTTAATAATTTTAAGTAGCCTTGCAAAGGAAATGCATTTATATTAAATTATTTTGCTTTCATGTCACTTTAAGCAGTGGCGCTTTCGTTATCCTAGTAACTAAAATAGCTGTGAAATACCTGCAAAGTTCACTGCGGATATATCCGATAATCCAAATACAATTAACACACACCGAATGCAACAAATTGCGAACAGGCATAGGCTACGGTGGTCGTGGGGCAAAGTGCATAAAACTGCGAGTGCAGGCGAAGTTGCATTCTGAAGTATTGCACAAATATTGATATTTCAATAAAATTTTATTTTAATAATTTGCATGTTCGCCAGGATAATAGCATTTGTATAGATGCACTTTACCTCATGCAGTAACAATGGCCATTGGTGGCGTAGGCACAGCGGAAACACCAGTGCTAACAATGTTGTTGGTGCATATTTACATGTGTACATGACATCACCACAATGGCCACTGCAACATAGTCAGGAACAGCGTGTTGCAGTGATTTGCTGTGTTTGAATGCATAACATCAACGCCGGGGTCATTATCGGCAACATTATCGTCTTCGGTACGAGTTGGGCAAACACAGAAACGCATCAACGACGCATCAGTGCACTTTGTAGCAGCCTTGCCTGTTGGTCAAAGTGCAACTGATAGCCTTGTAATTAAAATTAAAATTTGTATATTTTTCCACAGGCACTTCGCCTGCACACTACAATGTATCGGGCTTTCCCGACTATATGCATTTGTTACTGTACAACGAGCGGAGTTAACTTAATTTAAATGTTGGATAATGGCGCTTTTACTCTCGACAGGAGCGTTCCACCGCACAAAGTGTTGCTTTTTCTGTCACTAATGGACATTTAATTTATATACTCAAGTGTACATTATTGATTGTGGTTTAAAGCATCAATTTTTATGTACTCATAGAGGCGTAACAAGTGGTGCTTTTATTCTGGGTTGCCAATGTTAATTAAATAAAAAAGTATATACTATAGAAAAAATAGATTATTTTGAATTTATTTGTAGTAAATCATTATAGATCCTTAGATTCTATTAAAAAAATTATAAGTTAAATGTAAGTAGAGATATACAACTATGTTAAATAATTAAAAGTTAAAAAGTTTCGAATAGAAAAGAAAAGACAACAACAAAAAATTTTTTAGTTTCGAGTATTGCCCAGTAGTCATCATCACTGAACTTAGAAAATTTTCGAATTTTATTTAATTCGTTTGTATATAGTCCGTATATAATTTGTTGACTTGCAAGTACCAGGCTTAGAACTAGTGCCTGTCAAATTAGAAACAATGACTAATAGTATTTTTTCACAACTGGCCAAGACTTAAGTTCCAAGTTTTTTGTCACTTTATTTGTAAGTGACACTAACTAAGGCACTTGCTATGCTTTTTTTCAAATTAGAACGAGCTTATAAAAAACTACAGCTGAAAGTTAATTCTTGAGGTTGCCTATTTTTATTTCAAAGTTATTCTTTTTTAGGTTAATTTTTTCTTGCTGATAATGGCGTATCTTTTTATGACGAAAGAAACTATTTAAAAATTAGACCGATAATTTTTGTCTTTGTTATTCTTTTTAGTTTGTTACTTAGAAAATCGTAAATATCCAAAATAAAAAATTGTCCCTATAAAAATCATCCCTATTGAATTAGATATTT